GGTCCGGGGCCGGGAGGGGGGCAGACGAGTTTCCCTGGTGTTGGCCAGAGTGGCCACCAGGGAAACCTGGGGAGGGCTAGCCTCCCACTAGTTTGAATTAAGGGGCTACACAGCCCTTAATTTGAACTAGTAAGTTCGAACTAGGCTTAATCCTCCTGGAATGATTACCTAGTTCGAACTAAGCGCTCCGTTAGTTCGAATTAAATTCGAACTAACGGAGCGCTAGTGTAGCGCCTATGAAACTTAGTTCGAATTAACGTCCATTAGTTCAAACTAACTTTGTAGTGTAGACATACCCTAACTCCTGAAATGACTATAGGTTGAACCTCTCTAGTCCAGAATGCTCTGGTCTGGAAACATCTGTCGTCTAGCATGATTTTAGTTAGCTGGATGTCCACTTTTCATGAGTGTGACCAAGTTTCCTGCAGTCCCATGAAATTTGTTTACAGCCACCAGCCCTAGCTTTCAGTGTTCTGTGCTGTTATTTAGCTCTAATTTAACCCTAAATGGCCTCTAACAGCTCACTATGCAGTGCAAGTGTTGGTAATGCTGCTAGACAATACTGACCTTCTATGGTTTTAATGGATAGGAGGAGTGCTGGCCAGCACCTGGTGACTATGGGATTAAACTCAGGTAGCTAGCAAAAGAGTTGACAGGGGGCCAGAAGAACTAACTGACAGAGAGTGCTGAAATTTGAATTGGATATCGATACCTTGCCTCCTTTCATTGTGTGGGAGAGTTAAATCAGAAGTTGAGAGACACAGAATGATTTAAACCTAGGCAGGACTATCATGCCTCCAAGGAATTCAGGGCATAGAAGTGGACTGAACAAAGAGAAGATCATGAGTAAATAAAGGGGGAAAAGTTAATCTAGTCATGATCAGGGTATTTTCTTTATTTTGTGGCTTGATTTGGTTTGAACTACTCTGTGTGAATCTTTGCCTCCCCTCCCCATTTACCATCTAAGAATTGTTCCCAGAGATTTCCTTTGTTTTTAATTTGTTTTCCTTATCTGCTCTGTAACATCTAGCTACCAAGTATGCTTTATCAAATATATCTTTTGTTTTGTAATACACTTTTTTTAAGGCGATGATTTGATTCTTGTGTCCTGAAAGTTCAGGAGATCTGTCTGTGTGTGTGTCTATGAATGCCTCAGACTGAGAGGTCATCTACCAGAGACTGAAGCTTATTTTTTCTTTTTTCAAGCTCTCTTGTGGCAAAAGAGCTTGGGCACCCCTGGGGGAGAGTTCAAAGGGGTATCTCTGGGGGAGAATTCAAGTGTTTGCCCCTAGTTTTAGGGATAAAGATCACTTGATTGTGGCAGCTACCACCCCAAAAGTCAGTGAATCCGTGACTCTGGGGGAGATTTTGTAACCAGAGCCTGTAGAGGCAAGGTATATTTAAAGTCTTTGCAGGCACCCACCTTCTGCACTAGGAGTGCCAGAGGGGGGAACATTCCTACAATGGTTCAGAAAATTCTCTCATTTGGAACCAGTCAGGTCCAGAGGGTGCCGGATTAGAGAGGTTTAACCTGTATTTTGAAATAGCTTGCCCACACTAATTTGAGGCATTCTCCCTTAATGTGGACATGCTACCTCGACTTAGAGCCCCAAGAAGCACTCAGGAATAATTACTTTGAATGACTCTGGGGAGTAGTTATTTTGAAATAACAGCAGGGGAGCATCCACACTACCTCTATTTCAAAAATAACTATTTTGAAATAAGTATTATTCCTTGTGGAATGCAGGAGATATTTCAAAATAACCAACCCATTGTTTTGAAATAACGGGCTTGGTAGTGTGGATGCTCCGCTTGTTATTTTGAAATGTAGACCAGGGCTTTGTGCCTTAGTTCTTACAAATGGGCATAATAGCAGCTCACAGGTTGTTAAAAGAATATTTTTAAAGATTGTGAGTTGCTCATGTACCGTGGAAATGAGGATCATAAGTATTTAAGAAAGACTATGTAAGCAGATCCTCTTTTCCAATATAAGTACATATTCTGTCTAAAATTATATTAATCCTCCCTTTAATGGTGTCTTCCCTCTCTCCCTACTTTCAGAATCTTTTGGCTAGAACTTGTTTTGTTTTGACACAACTTCTTAACTACAGCACAAATTGTTTTATTTTTAGATTTGTGAATCAGCTAGAAGGACAAACTTGTTGGCCAAAATATATTTACCTATTCCTAACAATACTGTATTGCAAAGCACAGGTGTACTGGAACAGGCAGAGTTTAGCTGTGACCAGCAAGTTAAACCCACAAATGGAGAAGTGGGAAGCAGTAAGTTACTTACATGTTAAAAAGATTTGAGCCAACTTAGTGGTCTATTGGCAGTTTAGAGTAATGCTAGATCGAGGTCTTAAGTCTACATTCTTTGAATGATGTTTGAAGAAGAGTTGATCTTTTACTCAGAGCACGGTGTTTGGCCTCCTTACTCCTGACCTCGCAGACCAAATTCATTATGGTATTTAGTATTTCTCGGATTTATATCAGAGTGAAAGCACTTTGTATTATTCTACTGAGGCCTTCCTTTGAAATGTTCTTTCTATAACTACTCTGCCATGATACAGACATTTGATGGTGCCTCCTCATTTGTTTTGACAGGCAAAATTATGACTATTCACCATTCAGGATTTTTCTGCTGCTCAGTTTCCTTTTCTTCTTCTCCAGTTTGATTAATACTTCACTGAAAGAACCACATAAGAAGTTTGGCTTTTTTGAGTGGTGTTCCAATGGATGCTCCATTTCAGGTGCACCTGCATTTTTAGAATCCTTGATCAGAAATTCTGTTAGCAGTGTCTGTTCAGTCTGCATATGAATTCTATGCATCCTTTTGCCATACATCAAGGCCAGATAGGGCTGACCAGTGAACCATTCTAAGTTGCTTATCAACCATTTCAGCCTGAGATGGAGCCTTAGCATGTCAGCCTTGAGCATGTCTCATATCTCATGTACAGTTTCTTATAGTTGGTTGTTTAGGATTAGTTTAGTGCAGTGTTTCTCAATCAGTGGTATGAGTACCCTTAGGGGTACTCAAGAGAAGTCTGGGGGGTACATCAACACAACTGAAAATTGGAAAAAACTGAATTTTTGTTTTAAGTTTTATAACTCTTTATTATTTTGTACTTTTTTCACCCAAAAATTTCAGTCTGCGCCTGGCTACAATTAAGTTGTTTAAACAAATGTGTTGCAATGGTAGAAATTTTTTTTGTCTGAAAACGGTAGATACTGGAGGTACTTATTTTTTTAATGGGGTTCTTTGTAAAAAAATGTTGAGAAACACTGGTTTAGTGTAGCTGAAACAAAATACGGGACTATGTAGCACTTTAAAGACTAACAAGATGGTTTATTAGATGATGAGCTTTCGTGGGCCAGACCCACTTCCTCAGATCAAATAGTGGAAGAAAATAGTCACAACCATATATACCAAAGGATACAATTAAAAAAAATAAATTTAATTTTAATTGTATCCTTTGGTATATATGGTTGTAAGCTTTAAAGAAGAGGCTCATCAGACTCTCATCAGTAGGTTCCTAAAAGTCTCAAATCCCATTCTGGATTCACAGTCTCAGAAGCCTCAACCTCAGAGGCAAAATAATCCCCCTGTACACGTGGGGCCAGAAAATTCTGGGATTCTAGAGGGAAACACATATCTCTGCTAGCATCCTGATACTGTCTATGAGGGACAAGGTAGGCATAGATGAATGACTCCAAACAGTCGGCAACATCATTACCTATCCACATAATACCCATGGTACCAGGCAAACCAATGTCAGATATTCCCAGTCAATGGTACCATCTTCTTTGGTTACCATATTGGTACCAAAACCCTACTTAGTACAACAAGAATTCAGGTACTCTAAGAACTTGTTTGTGTTAGATGAACCAGAATCCCCATTGCTCATGAATACCCAGTGCCTCTGAGTATTGAGACCCTGATCTCCAGATTACCATTATCCTTTGGTACCAGATGACTCTCTACCCTTCTCCACTGTCCACCCCTCCCCTCGCAGTTGGAGAATATTTAGGGACGGTGAAGGAGACTTCCAGTTAGACCAGGGGTCAACAACCTTTTCAAACCAAAGAACCAAACCTCATCAAAATTCAGAAGAAGTGGTCAACCAAGGGTTGTATAAGAATGCCCATTTGCATAACTGAAAATATACAACTTAATATTATTGATAATTGACATAATGATTAATAATAGCATAAATGAAACATTATACTCACAGACTTTATTTAATGGGACTTCTGCTGCTGCATCTTTTCGTACATTTCTTTGAAGTTTACATCATAACTGGTCAAATTCTGCTTCATGCACACATTCAGGCTGTCTTCTGTCCATCTTATGTCAGAGGGCTGAGAATGCAGGAGAGTAGGAATCTGGATTGGGGAGAAGGGGGCTCAGGGCAGGGAATTTGGATATATGATGGACTCAGGGCACAAGGTTCGGGTATGGAGTGTAGCCTGAGAAGGAGTTTTTGGTAAAATTTGGATGGGTAAGTGTTGCCAATCTGATCAGGAAAAGATCTAGGTTCGTCCTCTATCCCAGGTTACAGTTCAGTGGAACCACAAGGTTCTCTCTCTTGAGGGCCAGCTGGGCTACGTCTACATTGACCCCTTTTCCGGAAGGGGCATGGTAATTTTTGAAATCGCAATAGGGAAATGCGCGGGGGATTTAAATATCCCCCACGGCATTTAAATAAAAATGTCCGCCGCTTTTTTCCGGCTTTTAGAAAAGCCGGAAAAGAGCGTCTACACTGGCCCCGATCCTCCGGAAAAAAAGCCCTTTGAAGTAGGAATAAGCCCTTTGAAGTAGGAATAAGATCCTCCGGAAAAGGGCTTTTTTTCCAAAGGATCGGGGCCAGTGTAGACGCTCTTTTCCGGCTTTTCTAAAAGCCGGAAAAAAGCGGCGGACATTTTTATTTAAATGCCGCGGGGGATATTTAAATCCCCCGCGCATTTCCCTATTGCGATTTCAAAAATTACCATGCCCCTTCCGGAAAAGGGGCCAATGTAGATGAGCCCCAGGTGACCGACAGCAACCACACTTTAACTCAGGAAATGAAATAGAAAATAACTTTATTGCGAATGGAACAATGTTTTGACCATGACAAAAACAGCGGCAAGAGAACAAATCACTTGAATTCCTTCCCAAGATGTCATTAACACAATCAGATTAAAACTTATCTAAGTATACAAAGAGTAATAATAAAAATACTTCCTAAACACAAGGATCCCAAGGTTGGATGGAGAAAGGTGGCTTCCATTCCCCTGGAAGACCTAGGAGCAAGTGGTAGTAAGATTTCTAAAAGCAAACTTAAGCAAAATTAAGGAAGAAAGCTGTTATAGAAAGAGATAGATATAAGTATTTAGTTTCTGACCTGACAAGATAACACTCAAGAGTGGACTGCTTCGATGGTGCTGGTACAGCAGCCCCGATCTCCCAAATCCCCAGGCCTAAATACTCCTTTTGGTGCCAAAATGTTCCGGATATACAACCCCTTTTCCATAATTGGGCCTACCACCCTAAGATTTCTGGGGGTACCATCTTTGATTGGAAGAAATTTTCTGAGCCCTTATGAATATATAATAAAGAATGACTGATGTTTTCTTGGATAATTTCCCGAAACCACTTAGAAAGTGCGGGAAGCTGTGTCAAATACCCTAACGTCTGACTGATTGCACAGGAAATTTGAAGTGGCCGTTATCATTATGTTAGCAGATTTCCTTTGCAAATTCCAGGCAGAATTCAAAAAATAAACTCTAGCACCAACCACAAACTCTTGTTTCACCCTTTTATGGAAAATTACAAAGAAAAACAAGTATTTTACTGATTATCTACTGCTATAAGCCATCTTCCAGAAAATGAATCCTGCAGGCCCCTTGCATCACCAGTGCATTTAAATCTAACAAAAGAAAAAAAAAACAAATTAAGTAATAAAGGGTATGTCTACACCACCACCCTGCAAAGACCCTGCACCCCCCCCCACTGCTCCTGCACCCTCCCCCTGGCCAGACACCCTATCCCCACCCTGCACCTGCACTCTCCCCCCCTGGCCAGACACCTGCCAGATACCTGCCAATCCTATTGCCAGCCTGCTCCTGAACCCATTCTTGCTCCTGAACCTTCCCTCCTGGCAACATACTGCACCTTCACTTGTTCATGCCCCTTCCCCATGGACAGACACCCTACTCCTAGCCTGATCTTTCACCCTTCCTCCCATCCAGACCTTGCACCCTCACCCCCTCCTGCATCCCACCTCCTGCTCAAATCCTGTACCCCCCATTCCTCTCACTGGCAGACCTGTTGGCACACTGAGCCCTCCCATTTTGTCTTAACCCCAGAGCCTGGGGGGGGGGGCCCCATAAAATCCACTAACCCTGGAACTCCAGAAGAGTCAATCTGGCCTTTTAGAAGCCCTGAACCTCTGTCCTCCCTGTCCCTCCCTCTCCCCTGGTGGAGTTGGAGCAGGGTGATGGCCAGAATAGGGGAACCTGGGGCCTCTCTCTCCACTGGATTCTGGCCCAGGGAACTGGTGGTGGTGGAGATCCACTCACAACACACCAAACCTTTTAGACGATTCTGATGCCATTTCTCTGTATAGTCCCCTGGGTCCCTTCCTATCCAGTCCAATGACATCTGTGGTGTTCACAGTTCAATAGTTGCATTTGCTGTGACATTGCTCATCAGGATGTGTGGATCTGGTCCTGTTCTCAGCTGGCCCCCAAGTCTTGCAGTGGCAGTGGCCCACCATATTGCTCATGGTGTACCTCTTTCTCTTCTGGTGGTCAGCCCAGACTGACCCCTCTCAGGTCTTTCATAGTCTGGTTCCAGCTGGAGGATGGCCAGTGGAGCAGGAGAGGCCTGGCCTCTTTTGCTTACAAAGATGGGTTAAACCTGGGTGTGTTTACTCTTATCTGATTCAGCTATGTGTTCAGCTGCTATTCAAATTTCCAGTCATTCTTCATTTCCTCTCCCAGGATGTGGACTGTGTGCTTCATCCCAATTTAGGAGTTCTATGTCTCAGGATGGGGCTATAATCCTCCTGTTCTGCAGAAGTGCAAGAAATGCTACTGATTAGTAGGAAGAGATCAACCCAAATTACTTATCTGCAGAAATGGAAGAGATTCTTCCACTGGTATTTTCACTGCTATCTTGTGCCTGAATCTGTGTTGCTCTCAGTTATCCTGGATTACCCATTGTATCTAAAGAAACTGGAGCTATCAGTTAGCTTGATTAAGATCACCTTGGCTGTGAAATCAGCCTTTCATCCTCTAGGAAGTGGCTGCTCCATATTTGCTCACCCTTTGGCATCTAGGTTCATTAATTGTTTGGGGAATCTGCTACCAGATTAGGAACCCCTGAGAACTTGCAGCTTTAGCTGCTACTTAAATACCTCATGAGATCTCCATTTGAACCAATACCAACCTGCTCTCTGCTCCATTTATCTATTAGGATTCCTTGTCTAGTAACTATCACTTTGGCCTATAGGGTCAGAAGGATTGGGGCCTTGATGGCATATGTCCTTCATTATGATGTTCTTCAAAGACAAAGTTTCTTCATGCTACACCCTAAGATCTTATCTAAGTGTACATCTATACTAGCCCCCTAGTTCAAACTAGGGAGGCTAATGAGGGCGACCGAAATTGCAAATGAAGTGTGGGATTTAAATATCCAGCTCTTCATTAGCATGTTCCCGGCCGGTCACCATTTTAGAAATTGACTAGCCCGAAGTAACTGCCCGCGTCTACACGCGGCAGTGAAACAGGATTCCAAATTAAAGCCCTAATTCAAATTAGCTGTTATTCCTCCTGCAATGAGGTTTACCAGCTAATTCGATTTAGGGCTTTAATTCGGAATCCTGTTTCACTGTTGCATATAGACGTGGGCAATTACTTCAGGCTAGTCAATTTCTAAAATGGCGACCGGCCGAGAACATGCTAATGAAGCTCAGGATATTTAAATCCTGCGCTTCATTTGCAATTTCGGTCGCCCTCATTAGCCTCCCTAGATCGAACTAGGGGGCTAGTGTAGACATACCGTAAGCTCCTGCCAGCCTTTCATCTTAACCAGTCCATTCATTTACTAGTGTTTTTTTTCAAAACTTCATAAGGTCCTGTTGGAAACCTGTTCTCATACCTTATAGGTTAGAAAGACACTGGTTTTCTATCTTGAGAGGAAGAAAATGAAACATTTTCAAAAGATATCTACACTGTTCCTGATGTCTACCCCTTCCTGATGTACAAAATAAAGAACACGTGTGTTCAAAAATAGAAACTCTCTTTATTGAACAAAACTTGGGGAGACTGGGAAAAGGAGGTGGGAGAGGGGAAGAGAGAGGGTGGGAGAGGGGAGGGCAACTAAAATGATCAGGGGTTTGGAACAGGTCCCGTATGAAGAGATGCTAAAGAGACTGGGACTTTTCAGCTTAGAAAAGAGGAGACTGAGGGGGGATATGATAGAGGTCTATAAAAGCACGAGTGGTGTGGAGGGGGTGCATAAAGAAAAGTTCTTCATTAGTTCCCATAATAGAAGGACTAGAAGACACCAAATGAAATGAATGGGTAGCAGGCTTCAAACTAATAACAGAAAGTTCTTCTTCACAAAGCAAATAGTCAACCTGTGGAACTCCTTGCTGCAGGAGGCTGTGAAGGCTAGAACTTTAACAGAGTTTAAAGAGAAGTTAGATAAATTCATGGAGGCTGGGTCCATGGAGTGGTATTAGCCAGGGTATAGAAATGGTGTCCCTGGCCTCTGTTTTGGAAGGCTGGAGATGGATGGCACGAGACAAATGGCTTGGTCATTGTCTTCGGTACATCCCCTCCGGGGTAGCTGGTGTTGGCCGCTGTCAGCAGACAGGCTACTGGGCTAGATGGACCTTTGGTTTGACCCAGTACAACCGTTCTTAGGGTCTTATGTTCTAAGCTCAGGGCTCAGGGTCGGGGGTCTCACTGGACCACCTTGATTTTCATGCAAACCTGCTCCTGGGTGGCCAGGCTGGCAGCTCTCCCGCCCAAGCCGGCCACTTTCCTGTGCCTAGTGCGGAGGTCGTGGATGAGGTCCACGATCTCCGCACTAGACCAGGCGGGCGCCCACCTCCTGCGTCCCCAGGCAGGCTCCTGGGAGCCGCCAGCCTGGTCCTGGGAAGAGGGGGAGGGATGGGTGGCAGCGGGTGGCTGGCTCGTGCCGTGCCAGGTGCTGGGTCTGCTGGCAGGCTTGCCCCTGGCACGGGCACCATAGCCAGACCGTGCCCCTTTAAGGGCTCCGGGGCCAGGTGGGGGGCAGACGAGTTTTCCTGGTGGTGCCCAGAGTGGCCACCAGGGCAAGCTGGGGAGGGCTAGCCTCCCACTAGTTCGAATTAAGGGGCTACACAGCCCTTAATTCGAATGACTTAATTCGAACTAGGCGTTAGTCCTCGTAGAATGAGGTTTACCTAGTTCGAATTAAGCGCTCCGCTAGTTCGAATTAAGTTCGAACTAGCAGTTTGCCTGTGTAGTGCCTATCAAAGTTAATTCGAACTAATGTCTGTTAGTTCAAATTAACTTTGTAGTGTAGACATACCCTGAGATATGTAGAGCCACTTTAGTATGTACATTTTTTAAACATTATATCTTGATCCATCCCAAGATCCAATATGATATTTGGCAGTGTAGTTTTTTCTTCAGTTTGAGGACCAATTCTGAAAATCTCACCTCCCTCTGGAGATACTCCTTGAAAGTCACCTGAAGTAGAGCATCCATGGGAACACGTCTCAGAGAAGAAGAATAGATTACTCACTTTGTCCTGAATCTGCAGTTATTTGAGATGTGTATCCCTATGTATGCTGCATAACCTGCCCTCCTTTTCACACTGTTCTCTGTAGGGTATTTGGATGCAGAAGGAATTGAGGGTGTTGCGGTCTTATTGTATATATGGTTGTATATATGGTTGTGACTATTTTCTTCCACTATTTGATCTGAGGAAGTAGGTCTGGCCCACGAAAGCTCATCATCTAATAAACCATCTTGTTAGTGTTTAAAGTGCTACATTGTCCTGCATTTTGCTTCGGTCTTATTGTGTGCAGCATGAGGAAGTATATACACATGGGCCAAACAAACATTGCTAACAGAAAATTTCTGATCAAGGACTCAAGAGCTGCATGTGCACCTGAATTCCCTCCCAATCAATCCCTCACTCCAGCAGATCACAAACTGCCTATTGATGCTGGTCAATTTTTTTTGCTAGATCTGCTAAGGAACTGCACTTGGTCTCAGAACATCTGGGGTGTGAGTGGCTCTCATCCTTTAGGTCCTTGGTCAAGAAAGCATCTTAATTTAGGAAAGCACTTACGTGCTTATGTCTAAAAGAAATCTTAAGATGAACAGGCCTTTACCAACAAATGGCAGGGTTGAAGGATGTATACTTGGGTTCATTTTTCTGAAGAGCTCAACTTTCAAAAGCTTGTGAAAACTTAATTAGATGAAACTTTAAATTTAATTGTACTGATTTATTTTCTTCCAACACCTTTTAATTTACAGATGTATGTTTTCTTCTGGATGAAACTGAAACTGAAGAGGTATGTCTTTTGACATCAGGAAAATTAATGTATTCCTTATCCTGGGCAGTCAGTGAGGGAGGAATTCCATTAGCTCCTTTATCTCAGAAAACAATCCCTGCTTGTTACAGGTAATAATAAATCTTATATATTCTAAAAGATTATCATAGGTTTTGCTAAATGGCAACTCATGCTTAATTCTGTGGGAAAAGTTATGCTACATTATAATTTGCTTTATGGCAAGGTATAACGCTAACTTATTGTAGGCGACAGTGAATCTATTTTCTGTAGATTTCTTGGGTGTTTCTGTCTTTATTTTGTTTGTGGTCAAAACATAGAATAAAACTGAAGCTGATTATGTCTGTGAGAACTGGAAATGTTTGCAAAACCATTGTGTATATTGCCTATAGGAAGAAATATATGACAAAATAAGTGAAAGTCTTATATTCCTTTTTAGTGTGCCAAGATACCTAAATGCAGAAATAGCTACTGGACTGCTGTGGTTCACTGACACACAGAAACTTATTGAATGGGCCAAAAAAGCCAAAATTGATCCTAATGACCCCGAGTATTCAGACTTGATGGAATTCATATTGGTAATGTTTAGTCAAGTTTAGTATTAGAAATTCGTAATAGTTTATAATTGCATCTAGAATAAACTATGTATTGAGTCTAACATGACTGGAGTTAAGGAATTTCTAGATATTTTTTACAAAAGTAATTTTCACAGGAGATCTTTGGTTCCAGTGTTATAATTAATATGGGACAGAACAGTGAGACCACTTCTGTTCAAGATTTCTGAAGTTGCCAAAAGAAGTGGGAGCAAAGCTGAGATAGATATATATTTCCTTGGTGCAACAAGATGAAATTGTTCCTACCTAATTATAAGTGACTCTATTTTATTTTAGATTCTTCTTCAGTGGGATTGTTACCCTCTCTCCTTTTCTTCTTCTCATATCCTTTTTCCTTTCCCTAACCCTGGTCATTTCTTCTGAACTCTTTCTGGACATTCTTTCTTCTGGTGTCCCACCACACTGTAAATCTTACCCAATTATTTACATGGATTATAACAGACTTAAAACATCAGTTTATGGAAAATAAATGATTGTGAAGCCCAGAAGAACAAAAGAATAACACAATTTGCATTCATCTTATGTCATGAATTTTATTTTGTTTCTCTTTCAAGTCCTGTCATTTCAGTACATTATTTAGAGATAGGAAGCACAAAATCTGTGGGAAGGGATCAGGGTGAAGAAAATACATTGATAGGGATCTTCATGGAGTTTTCTCAACTTCATTCACTCTGTGTATCACAGATCCAGAAGGAAGTAAACTTTATGCATGGAAACAGGAGCTATCCTTCTAAGGACATAGTGATGTCAGTTACATGATCCTACAGCTGCTCCTTAGTAGCTGTAGAGAAGTTATGGTTGAATGTGGTGCAAAAGTAAAAGCTGCAAATTACTGAGGCTCTGTGGACTTATTCTAGAGACTATGTAATGACTTCACTGTTGCAATTTGGGGAATTTTTCAAAAGTGAGAATAGGCTTAACTACTAAAAAATATAGTTTTAAGGTTTTTAAAAGGCTAAGGCTTATCTCTCTTGATCCCTTTGTAGATACTGTGTAGATTGCTTCAATGGTGGTCATTTTAGATTCTGTTTCTGTATGTAACATTTTACAACATATACTTTAAACAAAGTAGCTAGGGTAAACAGAATAAAGGATATTTACCATAATGGACTACATACAAACAGAAAATGAGAATTGAACTTGGATTGAAAAAGAAAATCAACAAAAAATTAAGCATATTCAAGAATTAATCTGAACTGATATTGAGATATAAATAATCATGAACGAGCCTAACCCAAAACCCACTGAAGTCAATGGTAACATTTTCCAGCAACTTCACTGCGTTTAGGAATAGGCCCTATGTCCTTAATTATAATCTCAGATAACATTTCTTTTACCTGTGAAGTCAGTCTTGAGAATTTGGAGATGTTAGCCGTGGTGTACACTAAGGAGTTATTTTGAAATAACAAGAGTGCATCCACACTACCAAGCCTATTATTTCAAAATAACAGGCTGATTATTTTGAAATACTAACTCCTTCTTTCCATGAGGAATAATTCTTATTTCGAAATTGTTATTTTGAAATAACGTGTGTGTGGACACTCAGTTGCTGTTATCATATATATAGTTGCTCAATGTCTGTGACTCTGTAACACTGAAATGCTGGCTGTTCCCTCTTGGTGGCCCATGCTGCATGAGGAGTGTGGGGCCCAAACGGCCGCTTGCGCTGCTTGCTTCCCCGTGGTAGCCCGGCTGAGCAGCGCAGAACTCAACCGAGTGCCACGGTGGGAAGGGGGGCAAGGTGGTGACATGCGGCATGACAGCGGCTCCAGGCCCTGCCCCCTGGCCATGCATGTCACTGCCCTGCCCCCTTTTGCCTCCCACCATTGTGCTCGGCTGACTTCTGTGCCTCTCAGCTGGGTCGCCACATGGGAGCAAGTGGCGCAAGCGACCATTTGGGCTCCGTGCTCCCCATGCAGCATGGGAGTGTAGAGCCCAAATGGCCGTTTGGGCTCTGTGGTCCTCCAAGTGAGAGGCAGGAGGGGGAGGAGAAGAGAAAGAGAGAGACAGAGAGAGAGGCAGGAGGTGGAGGAGAGCTGAGAGAGAGAGGGGGGAGGCAGTAGGAAGAGGAGAGAGAGAGAGAGAGAGAGACGGAATGAGAGACCGGAGGCTCAGGAGAGAAGACCGACGTGGAGGAGAGACATGAAAATCCCGTCTTATGATGGGCTAATTGGCTAGTTTCAAAATAATTGGCCTCCAGAGGCCTCTTACAGCTGCACTTGTAGCCGCTCTGGCCATACCTGACATCTCCACTGCTCCCCTTCTCCTGCAGTGCCTTTAAAAAAACAGGCTGCAGGAAAAGGGCTTGTGGCACGTGCAAACCTCTGCCAGCCCCATTCCACGCTGCAGCAGCACAGGGACCATGGCTGACCCCAGTGCTCCCTCTGAGCCCTTCATGGCTGCCAGCACTCCTCCAGCACCCTCACTGCCTCTAGCCAGGGACACAGAAGTGTACTGGCCTGGACTGGTGTGGAGATCCTGGATATCATTGAGGTCTGGGGTGAGGAGACCAATTTCCAGGACCTCTGCATTAGAAAGTGTCACAAGGATGTCTATGGCTGGATGGTCACCAGCATGGCCAAAAAAGGACACGCACGGACCCTTGACCAGGCCTGAACTCAGTCAGGTCTATAATAAGGCCAGAGAGCAGAGAGGATCACTGCACACAGGCTGCCTCTACAACCAGCACGATACCATCCAGTTGGGGGGTAGGTCAGCTCTCCCCCATCATCATTAAGTCCGACCAGGAAACACCCAGCGCCACACCCTCCACGAGGGCAGGGTTGTGAAGGAGGACAATGAGGAGAAGAAGAAGGAGGAGGAGCAGGCCAACCACTCGCACAGGCCTGCAAGCCAGGAGCTGATTTTCAGCTTGGAACTGGTCCCCCCTCCCAGGATGTCTCCCAGGCATCGGACAAACCTGGGAAAGGCACATCAGGTGAGTTCCATATCTTTTCCTATGCACGCGCAAGGGCAGATGGCAGGCTGTGAGGGGCTACATGCTCCTTATTCGGCTTGGGGCTAACATAGCAGCCTGTACACATGGGTGCACATGGAGTGCCAGTCTGGAGCACTCAGCCCCATGATGCTGTCACATAGGAACCCCTCGCTCCTTCTCACAAGGTTCCTGGAAAGGCCTGCCTTACTCCAGCCTGTGTGGTGGGATACCTTCCCATGACAAACCACGTTTAAGGAAGCTGGGGTGATGGAAACACACAGTAGTGCTGCACAAAGCATAGGCTCATGCCTGCACTCTTGGGGCAGCATGTGGTCCCAGTCAAGCGTGGCAAGGTGGAGGACACCAATCCCCTGCAGTGGAGCCTGCGGGGGGCAGGAAGAGGACAGGACCTCAGTAACACTCTCTCCAGCAAGTGGCCTCTGCTGCTCACACACATTTCCTTCAACACCCTTCCCCTGGCTTCCAGTGGGCAGGAATAGAAGTTCCCTCTCTGTGGGATGCCACGAGTGCTGGGCCCGGCATGTGCGGGACACAGAAGGAAGCCAAGCCACCGCATCCTCCTCTCCCACCTGCAGGCTCCTGGCCTGGCCGTCATCTTCCCATGCCTGCTTGTCCATGGGATGTGGGTATAGTAATGCTCCCCTGGGATGTCCATGCCCCTGCAGGAAATTGCCCACTGTCTAGGCAACATATGGCCTTGCTTGAAGCATATTGCCATTGTCTGAACTGAGACCTTTGGTCTGAACTCAGAGATTAAGGCTAGGCTTCATGCACAGTTTCTCCTGGGATGATTGCCCTTGTAAATTTCCTTTACAGCTGGGTCAGCTGAGAGCGTGGTGCATCCACAACCTTCCCCACCATCCTCCTGACTCTGCAGGATCTGCCAGAGAAGGAGAACCCGTGAGGACCTGCTGTGGGAGCAGATGGCCTACCTCCAGTCCCTCTTTCAAGGGCTCAACAACAAGCATCAGGAACAGGCCACTGACCGGGAGGAGCACTAGGCTGACCGGTAGCTGTGGAAGTCTGCCTGGAAGCAATCGTTGAGCCAGCCTGTGCTGACCATGTGCTTCTCCCTCACCTCAGTGGTGGAGTGCGTGACCTCGTGCATGGAGTGGGCCACCAGTCATCTCCTTGCTCCCGTCCCTGTACCCCAGGATTCCCAAACAGAGTCGGTGGTACTTCCAGGACAGCCGAGGCCTTCCAGGACAGCAGGCTCCACTCCCATCCCCATCCCTGAACTCTCCTCCTTCCACCTTACCCCTCGTTTTCTCCACCCCATTACAGGTTCTTTCCCCAGTTCCTCCCCTATTTTATATCCCCCAAATTAACAGAGTTGTTTGTTTAAAAAAAGGCATTTTTATTTGCTCTGCAAGGGTGTGTCTAGACTACATGGCTCCCCCGGCATAGGCAAAGAAGTGGGGATTTAAATAATCCCTGCTTCATTAAAATAAACATGGCCGCCGCTCTGTGCCGACGATCAGCTGATCCAGCACTGCGTGGCAGTCTAGATGCGGATCTGTCGGCTGAGGAAACTTTTGCCGACTGATCCTGAACCTCGTTAGGTTTTTTTTAGTCTCTATGATGCCACAGGACTACTAAATTGTTTTTCTAGTCCTTTAGCTTTGGGTAATAGTAGTGAACATGCTGTGTGCAATAATCTCCTCCCCAGAAGTCACAGCCTCATGAGAGAATCTGAGGTGCATTTCTGGTATGGTTTCTTGCTAAGCTCTGGAAGCTAAAGAGGCTAGCTGGAGCCCATTCCACCCAAACCTCTGGCCTATATTAGCACAAAAGATCTGTCTAGACTGCCACTCTGTGTCGGATCAGCTGATCGTCGGCACAGCGCAGTGGCCATGTATATTTTAATGAAGTGTGGATTATTTAAATCCCCGCTTCTTTGACCATGCCAAATAAACTAATTTACATTAATGGAGCCATGTAGTCTAGACACATCCCAAGGGAGAGAGGAAGGTGGGGGAAGGAGGGCAGGGGAAGGGAAAGGCTA